TTGACAAGGGACCAGTACCCAAGACCCTTGATCTTCCATGATGGCAGGCTAGCCTTTAGGCCTACCCCTCAAGCCACCCTAGCCATGTTCATGTGGCTCCCACTTGCCCTCCCTCTCACCGTGCTCCGAACACTAATCTTTGTGAAACTACCATATTCTATCTCCGTCGCAATTGGGGCTGTAATAGGAGTAACGACCCGGGTCATCAACTCACCGGTCCACATTGGTCAAGTGGGCTGTGATGAACCACATGCCCAGCCCAGCCCACAGGGCCACCTTTACGTGTGCAACCACCGCACACTTCTCGACCCGGTGTACATCTCGGCAATGCTGAACAAGCAGGTGTCAACCGTCACATACAGTGTCAGCCGTGTAAGTGAGCTCCTATCGCCAATCGGGACTGTCCGGCTGACCCGAAACAGAGATGAGGACCGGAGGAGGATGGAGCAGTCACTGAGGCAGGGGGACCTGGTGGTCTGCCCTGAGGGGACCACATGCCGGGAGCCATACCTGCTCCGCTTCAGCCCTCTGTTTGTCGAACTCGTTGATGAGGTCTACCCAGTGGCACTGGTGAACTGGTCCAGCATGTTTCACGGCACCTCCACTGGCAATTTCAAGTATCTAGACCACTTCTACTACTTCATGAACCCACGCCCAGCGTATGATGTTCAGTTCATGGACAAGATTCCAACAAGGATGGCGATCCAAGGGAAGAGATGCGAGAGCAAAGAGGTGGCCAATCTGGTGCAAGGTGAGATTGGTAGGACTCTTGGGTTTCGATCCACCACACTCACCCGTAAGGACAAGTACTTGAGGCTGGCAGGAAATGAAGGGTTTGCTGATACAAAGCAGTGAAGTCTACTGTGAACATAAGACGTTGCTGGCTCTTGCTCGCAAGATAACATATGTTCGTAATACAGTACAACATTTAAGATCTTATAGATTGCTTTTAAGTTGTGCATAATGTTATGACTACCTTTGTTGGACCACTAAGAAAACTTGTGAATGTACCAAAATAAGAAGCATATGTTAATGCTAGTATGCTCGTTATGTATTAGTCAGTTCATGCACTTGATAAATGCAGATCTTTTATGCATGCCCAGAATTATAATATGATTAAGTGATGAGAGCATTTTAAATAGCCTAAACACAGAGAACATTTACATATGTATGGAAAAAATGGGACTTCAAATTCAAAATGTCGCTAGAGCAACCATACTTACTGAACAACGCATCGCCGCAGTATCCATGCGACCACCAGCCATTTGAGAAGTGTGGCAATGGAGCAAGTGCTGCTTTCTTCCAGCTTATACTGATTAATATAACTATCAAAGCAATCAACCAATATTGAATGATACAGCTGATATCAATTCCGATGCCACTTCAGGATAACCTGAATAAGTTCAGTAAATAAATATAACCAGTTCCCTTGTCCTTGACTTTTTTTGCTCCAGCATTAATACTTGAATCTTGTAGCAAAATGAGAAGGCCAAATGTGGACCCCGCTGTGCTTACTGCCCAGGTGCAAATGAGGAAATCATAAAAACTTAAAAGGAAACTGTTGACCAATATCTTTCCATGTGTTTCTTACTGTAAGCACTTCGATTTTTTGCTTAAGCTGAAACATACTTGTGATATTCTTTAAATTGAGTTCAGAGTAGCTTGGTTCTGAACAGGTACTATATCCATCAACATCCCAATCTCTGCAAGTGTTTTGCTCCAATTAATGAATCATCCAAGCACAACTTGACCATGTAACTCCGAAAACATCATGAATGAAATCAGTTCCAGTGTCATGCATGCGTAGAGCCAAGATCTGCAATACCTCATCTGCCAAACAAACTTGTTGGGCTGATGGCTGCTACTGTCAGCTGTGTTAAAGTTATACTCCCTCTGTCCCATAATATAAGAACGTTTTTGACACTAGTGTAGTGTCAAAAACGTTCTTACATTATGGGACGGAGGGAGTAGATCTTATAGGTTACGTCTATCCAGCCCATTCCAGCCACCTTCCTGCTCCCTGTGCCTCTCAGTAGCCTCCTCGTGACACCATACTCACCCCATTTGCTACCTGCAGCATATCAAGTACTCCCTCCGTCCCAAAATAAATGTCTCAACCTTAGTATAACTTTATACTAAAGTTAATACAAATTTGAGACACTTATTTTGGGACGGAGGGAGTAGGATGTAATTCTTTGCTCCATCAGGATTGACCTCGATGATCTTCCTTGCAACCAATCTGCCCAGCTCCACATTCCTGTGCATCTTGCAGGCACCAACTAATGTTCCCCAAATAGATTCATCAGGAGCAAATTGCATTTTATCAATAGGGTCAAATGCATGTCTCAGCCTCCCTGCACGAGCAAGGAGATCAATGACACACACGTAAACCTCTTTCTTAGGCTGCAAATTATATTCAAATGTCATTGACCTGAAGAAGTTCCATACTTCATCTACTATAAACCAGCATGGTTGCAAGCACTTATCAGGACCAGAACACAACATGGTCAGGATGCACCCAGCACGGATCAAGGAACAATCATTGATGTCCAGATAATTTGTCTTTGCAACTCATCCTGTTGAACATCTTCGCATCTGTTATGCTCCCAGAATTGGAGTACATGTGCACGAGGGTATATTGCTCATTTGTAGGTCCTTGTCATACTTTCTCCAAAGGAAAGCCCCATGGACCTGCTTCCCAACTCCCAAGTCTCAGAGCTGCAATACCAGCACATACAGATGCAATGCTAGTCAGGGTGAAGCAATTTGGCTTAAGGTTAATGTCAAAAAGAAGCTGCAATGCCATTAGGGGATTGCATTGGTTATACCCAGCAATCATGGTATCCCAGTGAAAATATACTTCTCATGAATTTCATCAAAAGGCCTCCTTGCACCCAAAAGATGTGCACAACTGCATTACAAGTCAACCTAAAAAAAACTGCAGTACAAATCGATCAGAGCATTGGCAGCAGCAAGGTTCGCACTGAAAGCTTTCTTTATGGACAGTAGATGAAAGCTGATTTCTGATATATTAGTTGGCCATAGAAGCAAATGCATGTTGTGCAATAGAACATGTAAATGTGCTCAGTTCAATGCCAACCTGCACTATAGAAACAGCAGATGATGGGCCACGAAAAAATGTGTGCTTGGCAGGAAACCCATCATGTGAATACCATAGGAAAAATTGACAAACATAGCATATGGTGTTTCTTCTAACATTGTGCTAGGGCATAACAACAGAAAAATGGTACAATAACATGTTTGCTACTTGTACTGTCACCTGTTATTATGTCACCATTGTAAAATAATCAGCTAATACTAAACTCCAAACCAGCCAGCAACTCAAACAGTGCCAAATAAAATGAACACCAAAGTGATCCGCATCTTAGACTTTAGAAACCACTGGTGTCGTCTGAGGCATTCACACAGTTCTAAAGGCAACACCATGGCATTATTTTTGAGTTGGAAATTAACAGGTGTTACCAAAGCATACTTCATAACGAATCTAGAAATATCATGATAATGTACATGTATTACAACAATGAATTATAGATTTGATTTTATCACACCATATACACATAGAGCATCCACAACAAAGATATTGTTTGTCCAGATTACTCAAACGCTGATAACTGTTACAAAATGGTTCAGAGTAGAGCAGTAAAGATAATAGATGGCCGTTATAGAAGTCATTTAGTCAGGGATATCTCACCTGAATCATTGTTTGAAATAGCTGTAGCCCCGTGTGCTCCCGGCCCCCACCGGGCATACCCAGCAATCACCAACTTCCACGACGCGGCCGTGCGTCCACTCCCCAAAGCATCAAACAGCACCCTCCCGTCTTCCATGCCCTCTCCGCGGGACACGTAGACATCAGTGAGCGCTTTCAGCAGTTGACGCTTGCAGGGCATCTTCAAAGACCAGTTGCGAGCGCCGCCACCGTAAAAAGACATCTAAGCTCCTAAGTGGGTTTTGGCGCTGATGAAAGTAATTAGAGGGGCTGATGGTTTAACAAGTGTTCAATGAGTTATTAGTCCCAAAGTCTTGAAAGGAATTAGAGTTGGAGACCTTCCCAAGCAACAAGTGGAAGGAAGACGATACATTTTAATTTCCCATTATTTCTCATTTATTTGAGTTGTAGGAGAAGCTGCAACATTGAAAGGGTGAGATTTCATATTATGCTATGATACACACAAAACCTTGACAGTTTTCACCGAGAAAAGTTAGCCTAAGCGTCGATACACGAAATTTGTGCACCATGTATACAAGAGTATACATAGTGGATACATAGGGGTGACACAATGATCTCACCAACAAAGCTCACAACAACCAAGGAAACATGCACGACAAATTTACCCACGTTCAGGTCACCGAGGTGGGTAAGATCCCTACATCTTGTCTTCGTTGATATATGTGACTACAGAGCTAAATCATAAACAGAATAGTTCCTGTATCGATCTAAGTTCTCCACGTGATTGCCTAAATAGAGTGCCTCGACCCGATCATCAAACTCTTGTGGCTTCAGATGATACAAATGAACAAATCTCTTTGAGAAGAACTGCTGCGGAAGAGGCATGAAGAATGTGATCCGGAAATTCAAAGTGTATGTTGAAGCTGCACAATTTCCACTTCGTGCGAACCTTCCATTCATTATTGAAGCGCACGCGCAGGAGAGAAATAGTGACATTCTGACTCCATGAACAAAGCAATTGAACAATACAGAACAACTCCTTGGGTAACATCTCAAGGATAGAGATAGATTTACTGTGCAGGGATATTACAGGGAGCACAAGCACTTCAGCTAAACAACATAGACCCTGTCAGACACATGCTTCACTAGCGTGCATCCTAGTGATAAACTAACTTTAGCATACCCTAACTACAGATTACTTAAGAAGGCACAAAACTAAACCCATATATACAAAAGACTCTGACTGACTGATTGGGGAGGTACAAGCAGAAAGGTCAACATATGAAGTAAGTGATAACTAACACCAGAGTCATGGAAAGTAGGGGTCCTCCTTATTCTGATATATTGCAAACAACTGCTTCGAGTAACGTAAAGCCATCTTGTGACAGAACTCAAGAGCATACCAATCGTACTTTTCCAAGTCTTGTGCAGTCTTCTTAAGCGGCCCAGCAGCATCACCATCCAGAAGAAACTGCGCTATGTGAGAACCCCTAAACACAGAAAACAACTTGCAGGGTAAGACAAACAGAAACCCAAGTTCAATGCTAGTTCTTGATCTCTTCCTCAATGACTGAAGTAATATGCTGAAGAATGGTAGCAAAAGAAAATATTACCTATGCTAGTGGTGTGTGTTACTTATTATGTGGCAAACAAAATTGTGTTATGTGTTTATGATGCCATAACGGCATAACAAAATAGAACAAAAGCTAAACTTGAGCATCAGAACGAACGATACCTAAAAACTGAGCTTGAAATGTTGACAGTTAAACCTACACCCATGTGGCCTAGATTTCTACACAGGAAAGAGAGGTATTTTGCAAATAGAACTAAACCTATTAGTCTGAGAAGCCCTGCATTATACATGGAAAAGAGAGGTACTTTACAAATAGAACTGAACATCAAGATCAGTACAACACATGGTCAAGTCAATGCAGTATCTGTCAATCCAATGATAGAAAATCTCTTCTTCCCTTAAAGAGTAAAAGACAAAATATTTACTATACAGGAATGTCTAGATTAAAGTTATTGTTGAGGACAAGGCCAAGCTGTCATACAAACAAAATGCTATGCAAACAATGAACAGTCCAAATGATGTCAGGACAAAATAGCAAATGTACACTGTAGTACGTAAATGGTGATACAACTGTGTGCAGAACTGTCGATTAAAGTGCAAGGAAAGAGGGTACTCACAACGCATATACACAAATTAATTACCCTTAGTAATAGGTATTACCTTCGGGCATCTATCTGGTTAAATCCTTTTTTGTTGTGCATGATAGTAGCTTTTTCTGCCTGTTCTTCCTGGGTCTGCTTTCGATAGAGGGCACAAACAGCTTTCAGGCGAAGTTCAGGGTATTCATCAAATGCTGATAGCATCTCTGGCTCAATCTTCCAATCCTTATTCTTGGCATTCCTTTTGCCGCGTATCCTACCCATAAGATCTTTATAAGTTTCCTCGTTGTCAGACTCTTCTGGTCCAGCAGAGGATTCTTCAACAGAATCAGCAGAGTTTTCTGAACAATCTGAATCATCTACTATAAAATTTTCCATATTATCATCCTCTTCTGAATCATCCTCGCTCTCTTCATGCTTCTTGGGTTCAAAAAACTCAAGTTCCCGACGTGTAGGTCGCATCCTCTTTGATTGACCTTTAGTTAACCGAGCCAAGCGCCTTGTTGCCGGAGTAGAACGCCCCTCCATCTGATATAATTCACCATCGTCATCCTCACTCTCAATCCCTGTCATAATTAGAGGTGAAACAGGTTTTTGATTAACCACACGAACACCCTCACTGCCATCCTCACTCTCACTGTCACTGACTCCACGCAATGCACGTTTCCTGCTGCTTGTAACACGCACCTCCCCTTCTCCATGCCCTTGACCATTCTCATCTTCATCCTCACTCTCACTGTCACTGATTACCCGTGTCGCTGCACGCTTCTTGCCTCGCGGCGTGCTCAGAACATCATCGTCATCCAGAATCAAATTGCCATCACACCGAACTCTCCCATGGTCTCGTCCACCACCTCCATCGGCGTCCTTAATCTCGTCTGCAACACCCCTCTTGCTGGTCACCACCCGCACCGCACACTTGCTAGGAGTCGGGACTGGAGGAACGCCCTCCTCCCCGCTCTCCCCGTTGTTGACACCCACAGCCATCCCCTCTTCCTCGCCGTCGCTGACCTCTATGACATCATTCATCGCATGCCCTCCAACGATGTCGCCTGACTTTTGCTTTTTTCCGCCGAGACCCTCCTCCAATCGACCAAAGGTTGGACCCTTTTTGCCTCTACGGTTCACCGCAACTCCCTCAGACATGGCCTTCCTCAAGCGCGCGTTCTCGGCTTCGAGGAGCAAGACCCTAGCCTCCAGGTCGGCGATGCGGGACGACTTGGCGGCGAGCTCGGCCTTGAGGGCGTCGACCTTCTTCGCAATCTCCGCGACGCCCATCTCCGGCGGCGGCGGGCCAGGCCCCGACGATGTAACGGCTGAACCCTAGTGTCGAAGCGGCGGTGGAACCGTGGAAGGTAGTCGGCCTTGCTGCGTTTCTGTCCGGGAGGGATCTGTGTGGGGGGTGAGGGGAAGAGAGAGGCTTTGCGCTTTCTGGGCCAACGAAACGGGAAGTATAGGGAAGTCTAGGACGGATCAACTTCTCGTCTAGTTGGGCTTTGGGCCGAAGACATCAACAAGACGTGGTGTCAAATAGTTACTGCCGCCGGATAAGTCATATATTGTTCTAAAAGTACTATATTACTCCCTCCGTCCCAAAATAAGTGTCTCAACATTAGTATAACTTTTGCAGACTAAGGCATAGCCTAGTGATGGGAAGGGATGCCTTCCCACCCACCTAGGTTCAAGGCATGGTACTTGCAATTTAGGGTTGTTGCACCAATTATAATGTAGGGGTTCCCTTACAGTCTTTCTGTCAAAAAAACATTAGTATAACTTTGTACTAAAGTTAGTATAAAGTTAAGACACTTATTTTAGGATGGAGAGAGTATATAAAAACGGATTTGCCTAAAAAACGATAAGTCATATTGCTCCACTAAAAATAAGCCATATTTTTTCCCAGAAGAAAAAAAGTCATCTTCTGATACGACCTTCCAATCTGTTCATAAGCAATCACAACAATACAGAGAACATCAGAGGTAACAAAAACGACAAGCATGTTCACCAATCATCTAGCAAAACTTGTCCCTTCATTGTCCCTTCATTGCGCTAGAGCGAGATGAAGGTTTGCCGCCTTCATTGTCCCTGCCTCTTGGACCGAGCAAAACTTGTGCTTAGACCAGGACTAGCACAACAGAGTAACAATCATCACTGGTAGAGAGAGTTCTAGATTGGAAGGATCAAACCTGTAAACACAAGAATGAAGATTAGATACGAATTGATCCATCGAAGACCATCACCAATTGAATCCCGTGAGATCCGACAAAGAATGATGTAGTTAAATTCGGCCATTACTAGGATCTTGATGGCGTCGTGGTATAACTAAGGTTTATTGTGTCGTTGGTAACATCTATCTTCAATGCCCCACAACCGGTTCAGTTAGATGAATGCCATGGTATGGTCTAGCCCGACTATGAGGACCTGCTGAGCCTTATCCTCATCGTGGGCCTACCCTGGAGGGATCCCGCCGTCTAATACCATCTCTATTTCTAATGGAGCAGTTGGTAGCCTGGTACGGTTTATTTTCGTCTGGATTTTCTTTGTCCCACCACCAACCACCCTTGTTATGTTGGTTTTCTTATCTGCCGGTTTATTTTTCTCTCCACTCTTTTATTGCAAATCAGCACTTTCCTAACATACAAAAGATCATGGATCTAACTTTCCTAATTTATCCAAATCAACCGATCCTTCCAATAATGCAATTTGTTTTAAGAAACAAATAATAGAATTTCAGGAAACAAATAATCTCTACTCTTAATGGAGCAGTTGGTAGTCTCCGTTCCAAAAAAATTTCGTCCCACCTTCGTCTGGTTTTTCTTCATCCGCCTGCCTCCTCCACCGATCCAATTTGCGGTAACAAAAAAATCGACAACGATGCCGTAGCGATTTCCCTTCGCACGAACAAAAAATTGGGTGACGCCCAAGCCTCCCTAGCATGAAAAAACCCCAGACGAATCGCCCTGGGAGCAAGGACCCTTGCCACAGCCACCATCGCGGAAGTGTCGATGGAAACAACCCATCGCGACCCACGACTCAGCTAGGGTTCCTAGCCTGATGTAGGGTAGAACCCTAGAGGCCGATCTTTCATGTTTGGAGCGGATCCCTACGAAGAACACAAAGAACACGAGGAGGGGAACGCATGAAAAACACGAGAGAACACTCAACCAACGAGAATAAAGTCACACATGTGCTAGATCATCGAAACACAACGGAGTACAAGATCCAAATCCAACACGGGACGATACATAGGTTAGTCGGTTCTTCTCCATGAGGAGGTCTTGAAGAGGGTCTTCTCCGAAAGGAGGTCTTGAATCCAACAAGGATCTTCTCCGAAGAGGTGTCGGTCCCTCGCGGTGGAGTAGATCCGGATGGATGAGCAAAGCTCTATCTCAGAGTATGAGCTAAACCAATGCTAAGTCTAGAAGAGAGGAGGAGGAGTCATTTATATAGGCTAGGGGGCGAAGGGGTACATGGACCTCAGCCCAACACGCGCACGCAGGTGGGGTACGGATGATCCGCGTGAGGAGCCGGATGATCCGGGCTCTGTCCGGATGATCCGAGTGGTGGTCCAGATGAGCTGGTGATGCAGGCGGTGGTGGTGTAGGCCCAGAAGTCCGGATGGGGGTCCGGATGTCCTGATGATCCGGGTCGGTGTCTGGATGGTCTGGCTTCGGGGTCCAGCTTCGGGTGTCTTTGGGCGAGTTAGCCGGATCATCCGGACCGGGGTCTGGATCGTTCGGGCTTTGTCCGGATCGTCCGGGCCCTCGTCCGGATCGTTTGGCTAGCCTGGGACTTGGCGGTTTTCCTCTCCGTCTTCACGCATGTCTTCCGCTTCGGGTTCTTCATGCTTCCTTGCTTCTCCATGGCTAACTCCTTGGCACCTGAGTATACAAAGTGTCTCCGTTTGAGGTAGTAGCAATGTCTCGTGTGATTCGAAAGAGAGTTGTGAGAGGAGTGATGTCACCTCGGTTTCGAGAGCTCTTGCACGTGCTCTAGTCATAGGTCCAAGTGGTGTTGTAGGAGATGTAGATGCGTCCATGGGGATGATCGTGGGATGCTTCGCATCATCCCCCCCCCCCCGGGGAAAGATCTGATGTAACGCCCCAGATTCGATGCGACAGGTGTCTCCTAGTTATTCGCCATCGTTGCCATGTCATTTGCTTGCATGTTGCATTTTTCCATGTCCTCATGTGCATCTCATTTTGCATACGTGTTCGTCTCATGCATCCGAGCATTTTCCCTGTTGTCCGTTTTGCGATCCGACACTCCTATGTCCTCTGGCGTCCCCCTCTTGTCTCTTGTTGTGAGTGGGTGTTAAACATTCTCGGAATGGACCGAGGTTTGCCAAGCGGACTTGGTATACCACCGGTAGACCGCCTGTCAAGTTTCGTGCCATTTGGAGTTCGTCTGATACTCCAACGGTTAACCGTGTAAACCCGAAAGCCCCTTTTCTCTTGCAGCCCAGCCCCTCTTCACCACAGCCCATGAGACCATCCAAATGCCCTCCATGCTCTCGGTCGTTCGATCACGATCGTGCGGGCGAAAACCGCACTCCATTTGGAGTCCCCTAGCTTCCTCTACCTATAAATATGTGTTCCCCTCCGAAAATCCCGCAGATGAAACCCTAGCCCCACGCCGCCTGACGCAACTTCCCCACCGACGGACATGTCCGCTCCACCGCGCCGCCGCCCACGCCCATTCAGCGCCCGCCACGTGGCACCCGCGCCCTCCCTCCGCCGCCGGCCCGCTCGGCCCGGGGCGGGCCCTCCCGGCCCATCTAGCCGCGCCGCCGCGCCTTAGCCTCCCGCTCGCCCGCGACCCCGCCGCCGGCCACCTCGCCGCCGTGTGCCTCGCCGCCCGAGTCGCCTCGCCTCCCGCCGGAGCGACCGCGCCGCCCCGTCGTCCCTCCGCCACCTCGGCTCCGCCAACCGCCGCCCTAGCCTCGCCGTCCCCTGCCGTCTCCGGCATCGCCCGCCATCCGCCGCCGCCTTGTCCGGCGCCGCCGCGCCGGATCGGCGCCGCTCCGCTGGTCCCCGCCGGATCCGCCCTCCTCCGACCCTCGCCGAGCTCGCCGCCCTCCGGCCGCCGCCCGTCGCTACCTCCTCGACGCCGCCGGAGCTCCTCCTGACCCCGCGTCGCCCCGTCGCCGCCTCTCCAACTCCAGTTGCCGCCCCTCCAACTCCGGCGAGCCGTCGTCACCGGACCCGGACCCGTCCTCGATCTGGATCTGGAGGTGGACCAGATCCACCAGTGCAGCGATCCAAACACCCCGTCCCGATGCGGATCCCTCCGTCCCGGAATATCCCTGTCCTGTTTTCTGCGAGGTCTATTTTCTTCTAAGTCCCGGTAATTTTACATTCTGGTGCCCACTTTGACCTGTCATATCTCCATGTCTATAGCTCCGTTTTGCATGCATAATATATCAAAATATTCATTGAGAGATTCTCTTAATTTCATTATATTGTGCCATGCTTGTTTGAGCTCATCTTGATTCTTGAATCATCATTGCAATAGTGCTATATGATGTTATTCTGCTGAAACTGTTATAACTTGGTGATTTGTCATTTTTGTTGCATTTGATGTCTGCATCCTATGAGCATGAGCTCTACATGTGTTTTCAACTATGATATGTCATATTTACAGGGGTGCCATCCATGTATTTTTGTGAGTCTTGTAGTGAGTGCATCAAGCTTGTTAAGTGAGGTACTTGCTGTTACTGTTTTGCTAGGCTGAATCTGTTATTTCGTGATGCTATGTAAACCTGCTGCTACAAGTCATTCTATGCATAATCTGGAGATGTTCACTAAGGATGTTTTGTTATACACGTCATGCTCTATCCATCCATTCCCCTGTTGTCATTTATAGCCTGTTGTAGCTTGTTGTAATCTTGCTCCAAAGTTGTTAAATAATGTTGCTGTCAGCCTGTTAACATGAAGTTCAGTTTTGCCATGAGCTTTGCTAGTGATACGTGCACCCTATGAACTTGTTCTTGCCGTGCTTAGCTTCATAAACATGTCATCTTGCTGTTGGTCACCTTTTCATGCCATGTATTGATCTGTGGTGAGTGGTACAAGCTCACCAACATGCCTACTTATTGTTGTTCCTGCCATGTATGAATCTGTCATATCATTTGCCATGTTTGCATGGATGCTACCATGTTTTCTGTTGATCTTTGGAATTAGGTCAATAAGGGACTTTTGTTCTATGCAATTAGTAGGTTCATGCCATGCCTTTGGTTGCCATAATATGTTCTTGAAGCATGTTGTTTGATAGCACTAAAC